GAATTTTTTCTCATCTACCACCAATACACATTATTGTCAAATCTTAGCCATATAGAAAAGTTTTTCAAAAATTCAATAAATGAAACCATTTGTGTAACAATAAATTTGTAATTGATGGTGAGAGCACAAAAATTCGGTTATTACAACAACAAAATTTAAACATTTAGTGCAGCACATGTGGCTGCATATTTTTGCTAGTCTAAAAAAAATTTAAAAAATTCAGATTCAGCTGATGATGTTTCTAGGCATAGTTCTAGTTCTGCATTTAAGTGGCTTCAGTACTTTGTTTTAGTGACTGTAAAAGCGGGGAATCCTGTTTTGTAGGAATAGGCATTTGAGAATATGTAGTCTGCCTGTTGCATTACAATAATCTTAGTGCTATGAGCTACAGAAAATCAAGAATTAGGAGGTGCAAAATTGTGTTTGGAAAATTTATTGTCAGAATGTAAATTCTAGTTCTTTTAATTTTTAACTTTGTTTCTACATTTACTTTTTAAATCTTAAATTTCATTCAATGTTTATTTGGTTTCTGGAGCAGCCACAGAGCTTCCATGAAGTCTTAAGACTCTGCAGGGCACAGGCAGGGAACCATTGTATTAGAAAACACAAATGCTGATACTTACGATGAGAACGAACCAAAGTCAATATCCACTGGCTGCTGGCAAGCGCGAGGCTCACAAGTTGGTGCCTCTGGTACCCACAGTCCTGATGCATCACATATTATTTCTGATGACCCCTGTATGACAAAGCCTGGGTCACAAAGATACTGGACTGCACTTAAGTAAGTTGTAGTTGTTGAAGTAACCTGCCCATTAGTGATGCTAGGGACATCCCCACAAGAAACAGGCTGGCATACTGGGTTGGAACCACTCCACTTCCCACTTTCTTCACACCGCCTAGATTCCTCTCCGACAAGAACATAGCCAGTTGTGCACTGATAGTCTATTATATAATTGTATTTGTAGATATCCCCAGTAATTGAGCCATGGCGTAATGCGGGTGGCTGTCCACAGTCTAGAGGAACACACTTGAAAGTCAGGCTGCTCCAGTCTTTCTTTTCTTCACATTTGATCACACTTTTACCCACAGGTTCATATCCTGGATTGCATGTGTAGTTCACAACAGAGAGGAATGTTCGGTCCTGCCCACTGGCAACAGCATTGGGCACAATAGGTGGATCTGGACATTTAATGGGGATACAAATAGGCAACTCTGTTTCCCACTCTCCTGATGGTAGACATGCTACAGCTCGGTTAGCACCTGGCACATCAGGATTGAACTCATATCCAAAGTCACACTGATATCTAGAGGAAACAAAAGAACTTGTAAGCACCTGTTATATCAGACTGTGCCTAAAATCCAAAGAGCTAAAAAAAAAAAAGGTTAATTTCACACTATTGGCTCGTTTGGTAAATGGAGCACAACTCCTCTTATTATAGACCAGTGATGAAGTCAAGATTACACTGGTAGCCTTTACTTCCCAGGGAATTTTCTGGTACCAGTTTTAGGATAGGCTAACCTAGTACCAAATGTCATTAGCTACAATGACTGTTGTTTGTAACTGTTCATTTTCAGAACCTCTTCAGACCTGTGACTACCTTACCCTTATCTACTACCAAGAACATTCTCTGATGAAGAGTTCCTGAAATCTCTGAGTACCAGTCGACTTGGACTTTAACTGAATATATTTACATTTTGAGAAATCCTAGCATAAAGCAGCAATTGTAGGAGTCTGAAACAGTTACAATAACACTATGGGACGGATTGAACTAAACTGAGGCTTAGAATAGGATTAGGTAATGTAACGTGTCTGCAACAGTAAAGAAACAGAAAGGTAAACTGTCTTTAGACTAATTATAGAACCCATTTTAAAAGAAGAGTTTAAAAGAAGTCAACAGAACACTGATTAAGAACATAGTTCTAAATAAAGTTAAAGTTAAGAGCATCAGCTTCATTTTCTTAGATTTTACTACATGGCTTGGTTTCTCTCTGCAGAATGGCTAAAGGTCTGCTTAGAGCATTGCATAAAGCACAAACACTGGAGCTCCATTGGTGATCCTCAGGGATCTTTGTAAAACCATACTTATGAACTAAATGACACATCTGTGAAACAAACCCACCACCTTCAGAGTGCCAGGCAAATGGCCCCCTTACCACTGTGACTCCCATAAGGTCCCATACAGTCTGGGGAAAGGAAAGGATCTTCACTATAACTGGGATGCCAAGGGGTGGGGGGGGGGGGAGGGTGGCAGTGGGTCCCCCCTTCTTGTATTGGGTCGCCAGCAAAACCCACATGGGGAAAAAGAATGTCTGATATTTTAGTCTAAACATTACCTGACTGCTTCCCCTACATTGTACTCTGCATTGGAAGTCCAGGGTTCTCCATTTGGAATTTCTGGAGGAGGACCACACTTTTGTGGATCACAAGATGGAACACTTCGGTCCCAGGATCCATCTCTTTGGCATGTGACTGAATTGTGCTGGGTCTGCATCAGGCTACCTGGCAATATGTGAAGAAATAATAACCAATTTTTTTTTATCTGTTCTAAGTGCGGTTTCTGTCTAGAACTGTACAAATTGTCTAGTTGACCAAGAATTAGTTGTCCAAAGCAACCAATGCTTGAGGCCACAAGCAGTGACAATAATAACTAGAACAAAACAGGTTATTGTAATAATTAAGAAGGGGGGAGAGAGAGAGAGAGAGAGAGAGAGAGAGAGAGAGAGAGAGAGAGAGAGAGAGAGAGAGAGAGAGAGAGAGAGAGAGAGAGAGAGACAGAGAGACAGAGAGAGACAGAGAGACAGAGAGACAGAGAGAGACAGAGAGACAGAGAGACAGAGAGAGAAAGAAAGAGGGGGGGGGGGTAATCCCATAGTAGATGCTGCCACTGGAATGTTGAATGTTAAGCCTTCACAAATTCTATTATATGAAGTGGAATAGCTAGTTTCTTTCTTCATCATATTTGCTTCCTAGAAAATTATGGAAATTGTCTGGCAACTATTTTTAGGTGACCTGACGACCCCAGAGCTATACTGGTAAGAAATAAAAAAATTTTGCTAGTTGTGGGGACTGAAACCAGACAACAGATGCCTTGGTAGGCACGCCTAGTAACCACTGTCATATTTCATCATATCCACTGACTTACATGCACACACACACACACACACACACACATGCACACACATATGCACACACTCACACACACATGCACACACTCACACACACATATAAATATACATAAATACAGAAATATGTAAAGAACTTTTGGGAAGCTGCTTAGTATGGATTAGTTAAAAAAGTAATAAACGAGTAAGAAACATTGGTTCCCACGTGTGGGATCTGGAGACAGTTAAAAAACGTAATAATAGAAAATAAAATATTGATCTTCCATGTGGGTCCTGGGACTCCATTTTGGAGGGCAAAGAGCCCCTGCTCTCCCCCAACAAGTGTGTTGTATAAGGTGGCAAATTAGGGGATTGCTGAAACTGGATGTGTTTGGCCAAAAGGCTCTGTCACTCCCAGATGGTTTCAACGTAGAAACCCAATTTAGCCTAATAATCACAGTGAAAGAGGCATCAGTGTATTACTTTCAAAGATACACCATATAATGTTCAGCTTTTAAAGTATTTGGCCAGATTTATTTTGGGTACTCATACCACACACAAAATAAATAATAACATACTGTGTATTGGGTTCATAGGCATAGACAAAAGCTCAGCACATAATGTGCATTGCTTGGGTCAGAAAGAGTTTGAAGGGTGAACACAGAAGAAACACAAAAAGATATATTAAAAGGGTGAATCACATCACCTAATCGGGAATTGTCATGAATCATTTGTTGAATTTCTGATTCTGCAGCACAAGCTGGCTAGTCCCTGCACTCACGACCTGTCTATAATGGGTATTAGGAAATATCCTGGGAAGTCAAGATAGCCATAATGAGTTGACAACATCACCCACTGAGTGTTGATGGGTCAAATAAAATATGCATTTTTCAAGCCCTGTTCTGCCTTTCAGTGGCATGTTTTGAAGATGCATCGGGTTATGAGTTTTGGTATGTCCTATAAAGATGTTGATTTAAATAGCTCTGGATATTCCATCACTTGATGGTCAACTTCTAGCTTTGCTTCCATTTGGATATTCCATCACTTGATGGTCAACTTCTAGCTTTGCTTCCATTTTGTCAGGGCTCTCTGCCCTGCACGGTTTCATGATAGTCTAGACCCATGTCTGAACTATTTGATCTTTTGTCTCTTAATGTAGTTTAGTATTGCTCCATGCAAACTTAAATCATGATATTACCTTTCTTGATCCTGTCTCTTCATTTGGCATTCATGGCAGACATTTCATTTCTATTGTTTCAATTTTTCTGTTTTCCTTTTGTTGTTAATGTCTATGTTTGGAACTGATAACACTATCTTGTTATGTTCTGTTGTTCAAAGTCAACACAACTAACCATTACTTAATATTAGATTCTATGCAATGAACAAGACATTTGAAATTATGTACAGAATACATTAGCATAAAAAAAAACAGAATATGTCTTACCAGGTTTACAGCTGAATTTTACAACAGATCCTGCAGAGAATTTCTTCTTGGTAGGGGTAGCAATTGTGTTTTCTGAGAGTGTGGGTAGAGAGCACTGGATTTCTGGGGAAATAGGCAAGCTGCATATGTAGCATCTTGAAGACATTTACAACCAAACTGATTAAATAAAAAAATAATTTCTTTAACCCTTTCGCTGCTATGGACGAGATAACTCGTCTGCCCGGCAGACTGCTAAAGACGAGATAACTCGGCTGCAATTTTCTGTGCCCTCACTGCTAAGGACGAGATATCTCGTCCTGGACATTTTTTTACAGATTGCTAAGGACAGTAATTCTTAGGGGTGAAATAGCAATACACATTAACTTAATCTGATCAAACTGACCCGTTTACATACAATTAAAACCCTTATCAAGTGAGTTTAGGCGTATTTAGATGCATTTCACGTTATCCTGTTTCTTTGTTACCATAGAAGCATTGTCGGTGATCTGTAATTTTTTTGCCCTGAAATATATTTCTGGTTTTGCGTTAGTCTAAATTTTTTTTTTTTTAAATACAAAATAACAAGAACATTTGTTTAAATAAAGAAGAATTAATTGAGTTTCTTTCAAGGAGTAGTAGTAAGGATCACTTTGAAACGTGTGAGTTTTATGAGCTGGGTTATCTTCGCGGCACGCCGGCGGACACATGTACTTCTTGCTGTGAACAAGACTGACCAGTGACCATATGACCTAGCTATCTACATCGACTGGATTTGAAACGGATCCAAAATAATCAAAAAAAAAGATATGGTCACGTACTGACGTGATGATTAATATTAATGTTAATTATATACTATACAACTGACATAAATGTGTTTGTCTATTAAAGTGTACAATACTGGTCTTTTTTTCAGTTCATAGTTTCATGTGAATTTCTAGTGTAGTTGGTATCACGTCTGCCTTACAATCGAATGGTCCAGCGTTCAACCCCTACGTGCCGTTTTTAAAAAAAATTAATTATTTTAAAATGCAAATTTTAAATTTAAGCTGTTAGCATTTTCGGCAACAGATAACCAAAGTAATAATTAATTAAACATCCTGTCACGTGCGTTCAGGTGGATTTAGATGCTTTACACGTTATGTGAAGCGTGGTTGGTGTACTGTGCACATTCATTATATAAAGTTGTGGGGAAAAACACACCTGTTGCCGAATTTCACTTAATGTTAGTAAGAGAAATTCTACATAAATATTGCAAGGAAAAGAGAAAAAGTGTAGGAGGACAAAAAAGTGAAGATCTGCCACTTCGTTTAGTACAAAGGCATTTCCCTTCAATAATAAGAGTCCGTAACATCGCAGAAAAAATTCCCAACCAGAAAGTGTGTGGTATGCGCAAAAAGCAAAAAACGACGGAAAACCAGACACATGTGCAAGGAATGTGATTTGGCATTGTGTGTCGCATCTTGTTTTGAAATATTTCACACACAAAGATATTATTAATAATAATAAAAACCATGTATTTGCTTACTAAAGTGTTTTGTGTTTGCTTTGTAAGTTTGTAGTGTTTTCTTTTTGTTAATGAGTTTTCACGGCGTAGTAATAGCGCGTCTGACTTGTCAGCACAAAGTTCAACCACACGCCTTCAACGATTTTTTATTTTAGGTGTACAATTTTTACCCCGTGCCGCAAGCACGTCTTCTGCTTTTGAAGGAAAAAACGGTATTCAGCACAGGGGGAAAGATTAGCTCTCGCCTGACTTAGCACATTGGTTACATTGGCTGGCGGAGGGCGCAGCAGCGAAAGGGTTAAAATGTATCAATAAATATTGAAATTTAGTAAATGCAACAAAAAAAGGTGAAGATAAAATAATACTATAAAGTGAATGTGGTAATATATCAATAAAGATAATAAATATAATGTCATTCTGAAAGTGAAGATGACCACAGTGTGATAGATATGTGAATCTGAAAGTGAAGATGACCACAGTGTGATAGATATGTCAATCTGAAAGTGAAGATGACCACAGTGCAATAGATATGTCAACCTGAAAGTGAAGATGACCACAGTGTGATAGATATGTCAATCAGAAAGTGAAGATGACCACAGTGTGATAGATATGTCAATCAGAAAGTGAAGGTGACCACAGTGTGATAGATATGTCAATCTGAAAGTGAATATGACCACAGTGTGATAGATATGTCAATCTGAAAGTGAAGATGACCACAGTGTGATAGAATGGCAATCTGAAAGTGAAGATGATCACAGTGTGATCAATATGTCAATCTGAAAGTGAAGATGACCACAGTGTGATAGATATGTGAAGCGGAAAGTGAAGGTGACCACAGTGTGATAGATATGTCAATCTGAAAGTGAATATGACCACAGTGTGATAGATATGTCAATCAGAAAGTGAAGGTGACCACAGTGTGATAGATATGTCAATCAGAAAGTGAAGGTGACCACAGTGTGATAGATATGTCAATCAGATAGTGAAGGTGACCACAGTGTGATAGATATGCCAATCTGAAAGAAAGTGAAGATGACCACCGTTTGATAGATATGTCAAAATAGAAAGTGAAGATGACCACAGAGTAATAGATATGTCAAAATAGAAAGTGAAGATGACCACAGTGTGATAGATATGTCAATCTGAAAGAAAGTGAAGATGACCACTGTGTGATAGATATGTCAAAAAAGAAAGTGAAGATGACCACAGTGTGATAGATATGTCAATCTGAAAGAAAGTAAAGATGACCACAGAGTAATAGATATGTCAAAATAGAAAGTGAAGATGACCACAGTGTGATAGATATGTCAATCTGAAAGTGAAGATGACCACAGTGTGATAGATATGTCAATCTGAAAGAAAGTGAAGATGACCACCGTTTGATAGATATGTCAATCTGAAAGAAAGTGAAGATGACCACAGTGTGATAGATATGTCAAAATAGAAAGTGAAGATGACCACAGAGTAATAG